CTAAAAGATGACTATTTATTCTGAATCACTCTTTCCGAATTACGTTATTAAATATATCGTAGATATTGTCATATCTACGATAATATATCGCACAATATTATTGATTATAAAGATGAATGAAAAAGTATATATATGACCATCAAAATATTAACAAATATTGTATACGACAAATTTAATGAAACACATGAAAAAGAAGAACTGAGATATAGATAGTGGGACAAACGAATACATTATAAACCTGAAAATCAAGAATACTATTTTTTAGATAATTTTCATATTCATCCTTCATTGTATAAAAAGATTGTAAAAAAAATTATGAGAACATTAATAATGAGTTCCAAATATTTATATAGCAGTTGTTTGATGGTAGTTGGAAAGTGTAATAATCCTAATTATATCAGGAATTTGAGTATATTTAAAAAAACATGTTACACAAAATTTTATTTGTTAGAAACATGTTAAACAAAATTTTAGGAATATACTGTATTAAAACTTACTTTTATTTTAATTTTAAAGAAGCAAGGCCCATTAAAACTTACTTTTATTTTAATTTTAAAGAAGATGCTTCCTAAGTACGGAGTAATAATAGGGAAAAGGATGTGGGTGCGCCAAACAACCAAATTACGACTTCCTAGTTCCTACGTGAGTATGGAAATACTTTGTCCAACTTTGACAAAAAGTCGGTGCGCATAGCGAATTTGCAGACGCGTCACCCTAAATACCCCTTGGAAATAGTTAGCTAACCGTAACCGACCCACACTGCATATGGCTTCCTAAACACACCTTGCCACTCCGGCACCGGCCGTGCATAGATTTGGAATTTGGGGATTGGGGAGGGAAGAAAAACAAACAATTGATCAATGCATTACACAGAATCAATCACATTTGATGATGACGAATGAGAGGGGGAAATACGAATTTAGGTTTATCTTCCTTGTCAATTGTCATAGTCAGAAACTGTGTTTAGCAACACGGGTCAAAACTTGTCCATCTGTTTGAAGCCCTGCCGCCTCATCATACGACTGCCGCCCCATGACTTCCTTGAAAGAAGGGGTGTGCTCTCCACACTGCTGGAGAGAAGATTGCTGAAATCATCATACTAATTAGAATGAGAGGATACAGATCAGAAATTACAGAGAATAGAGCACAAATACGCAATCCCTTCACTGCTGCGCTGCGGTCTTCAATTATCCAAATGGAGTATCGAGTTCCTCTAAGGATATACTCCGTAATAGGAATGAAAATATAATTTTATGTAAAAAGAGAAAATTGCAGTTAGTAAGACTAAATCATACAAACTTTACAAGATTGGGACTTAGTTTGTTTTTTCCCATCCGTAAGCTTTATTTACTCCTATCTTAGGAAACTTAATTTTTTGTTTCCGATTTTACCCTCGAGTTTAGGTTGTGCTTTTAAGACAATAACCTGGGCAATTACCGATCTCTTCCGAAACGACCTTCACCTTCTTCTTCTTTCGTTCTTTGTCTGTGAAATCACCGAAGCTGGAGTTCTTTGTCTTTTTAATCATCCCATCTCACTTCTCCGGTTTCGATCGTTCTCGTATGGTTCACGAACTGTTCTGAAGTGTCTTTAGTCGTTCATCGAGCTTCATATGATGTGCGAATTTTTCTGTACTTTTTGGTACGTTTTATTACTCTTTTTTCTACAAATTTGTTACTGTTTGATGTTTTAATTTGTAAACGAATTTCGTTTATATAATCTGTATCAGTTTTGTCATCTTTAAGCTTGGTTTCTCATTGTGACATTGAAATTGCAATTCAAAGCATTTGTCTTCTCTGTTTTTAGTTTCTAACATGTGTTCTGTTTTTTTCCTACTTCAAACAGTTCTTTGATCGTCTTATGGTGAACCATATACAGTCGGTTGTAGTCCAAGAGCTTGCTGAAATGGAGGGTTCAACTGATGTAGATAAAGTTTTCGACAAAAATCATGAACCAGAAACCAGTGCAGTCTCCGGAAAAACCTGGGTCAGTCTCGGGATGATATTTTACTCCTGGAAGAAGAAGATGTAATGCCGTTCAATTCTTCGTGTGGTGTTCCCGATTTTGATGTTTTTCTCACTTTCACCTTACTCATATTGTCAAACATGCTATATATATAAATAAGAAATCTTTAGATTACCATTTTAAAGATGTATGCAATTACAAATCATTGTCAATATAAGATAAATACTTCAAACCCAAAGTATTGCATGTTGTTTGTGTTGATGATGGTTGTCTCTGGACTATTCATTTTTGCACTCCTCATCCATTATCTTATGAATTTTTAAGTTAGTTAGTTAGGTTCAATTTTGATTTTCTGCTCCCTTGAAAAAACTTCTGAAAAAACCTACGCTAAATATGTTCGAGCTCGAAAGTATGGATACTTTTGTCTGCTTTTGCATGAATTCCATTACACAGATGGATAGGGAACTTATGATGTGAATTGATCTATCCTGTAACTTGAAATTTAGTTAAACAATATGGTATAAAGTTCCACTTACATTAAATCAGTGTGCACCAAAAAACAATTCGATGAACTAAGACGCACATTCCTCTTCTAGTGAAGATTTAGAAGACAACTTAATGATTCATATCAACACTTTTTAGCTTTATCTTCTTCAAGTGAAGCTCTCGATTATATGATTCAAACTCTCATTTCAATTCTTTGTTTGTTGTTCTTGATTTTGAAGTTCTTTCTAACTTCCATCATACTCATATAGTTGGATGTTTTTGTGTTGATGATGAATGCATCTAAGCTGTTTGTGGAATGATGCTTTCTGTAAGTCATATGTTCCAGATTAGAAGTATATGTTTTGATTTTACAAGTGGTGTGTTGTGTCTATTCTGAATTTACATACTTCCTTTTATTTTATTTTAATGTCTTGTGTACTTGTTTAAGGACTATTTAATGACTATTTAGTGACTGTACTTATATGATATTTTGTGTTCTTCTTTTTCAGGTTTGATTCTAACCATTCATATTCCATTGATTATATATAATTTCATCGTCAACAATCCATATTTGAAACTATTGCAGAACTTATAAAGTCCCGATATTATTAGAATTCTCATAATATGGTGTGACATTGTACAAGATAGAGAAGGCTCTTGCTCATGGAGATAATTTGATTTTTGTCTCAGATAGGCATGAGGGTATTATTGATTTAGCAAGAACAGTTTCTCCACCCGCTGAACATGGCTACGGTGGTCAACACATTTTAGGCAATATTAGAGCAAAATTAGAGGATCTGCCACTGGTTTGTCATGGAAGTTCACTAGGTAGTCAAGTCTACCACAAGATCCTCCTATTATTGGTTATTTGTTGAAGTTCAACTGGAGAGTTTGATTACCAACAACGTTGCTCACAATGTAACAAAGGTCGACACAAGAAGAAGTCTTGTGGGAATTCTATCCTGATCTGTAGTTCTTAGTTTGAGAGTATTTTATGGATTTAGTTTTTATTTCCGAGAATAACATTTGTAACTGCCATGATTTGTTGGCATTTAAATTTATGTTGTCATGATTTTTAGCGTTTCAGTTGATGTACTTTTGATTGTCATATAGACTTAAGTATCAGACATATTCAAAATTAATGTCTTCTTACTATGTATTTAATGACTATCTCGCTAGTTTATTTACACAGTCTAAATCAAATTGCACTTAGCAACCCACTTCTTCCTACTTATTACATTAACTATGTCTAGTCATATGTCACTAAAATCTTGAACTTAATATGGATATGTAACAATTGGTGTCCCACATGTTTAGTTGTGCAACTTTAAGAACTCCATGTTCATATTCAATGGGGTCTGCATTATAATTTTATACTAATTGTTGTACTTTAGTGATACTAATTTAATGATAAAAAAGACATTGCACATAGTCATATTTCAAAAGAATTTTATGAATAACACTAAAATAAGACTACATTTTCTACGTTTAACAACTTTATATTTATATCACGTGATGTGTATTGTTCTTATGCATCTTAAATATATTTAAGCATTATTTCATCAATTGAGTCTATTAAATTTCATATTTGCTTTATACTTTTGTTTTAACTTTTATACTTACTTTAGCTATAGGAGTTTAATGTCTACTCATGTGTCATTAAGGACTAATTAATGTCTACTTTCGCTTTTTAATTTCCAGTTGCATTTGAATCTCCATATTCCTGCTGCCTAGTTTTGGACTGCAATACCACAAAGATAGAAGAGCGTTCTATCTCATAAACTCACGAATTTTGCTTATTGATACCATGGAATTATCATGTGATCTTCAATCGCAAATCCTAATGTCAACTCAAACCTATCATGGAAGAAGCAAGGGAACATCGGCGTTTCAGACTATGATCAAACGCATCCTACATGTGTGGATGGATCAGGTGGAAGAGCCAGACTGTCCAACAGATCTACTCGGCGAAGCTTGTGGATACTTTCCGTCAAGTTCGCCGAAGAAATGAGTCTCCATCCGCTGTGGCTGACGGCCGTACTATTCGGGAGGTTGCTTATGAACTCCTCGCTGTAGCCACAAGGGAAGAACCAGATGGAGCAGATCGATTGGGAAGCTGGTAGGATTTGGAAGCTCTCCGTCAATTCGGCTCTGGATTTCATCGATGCAATTTTTTCCTTAGTTGAGAAATTGATCTATAGTTTGGCCTGCAGTCTGAAAGGAGTCCTTTGATCTGTTTGACAATTTAAAAGTAAGGGTTAAATGGTCATATCAGCTCAACTTAAGTCCTACGCATAGATGTAGTCCTAATTTTGAAAATTTGTTATGTTTATGTCCTATTTGTAAAATTTTCCCTATGTAAAAATGTGGTTGTCGTTAGAACTGCCCTTTAATTATATTTTTTATATAAGACCAACGCACTCAAACCCATAGGCTTTGGGGCTTTGGGCCGATGTGTCCCAGCCTGTTAATCCCGACAAGTACATGACTATAAAATAGAAAAGCTACCAAAGTAGGAGTAAAACAATGTGACATTACTCCTTCCATGCTAAATAAATACAGAGTAATATTTCATTCCGATGTATAAAAAAACACGAGTAATATGAGTTGACATTCATTACAATGGGACAGTCGGGTACAGACAGTTCAGACTTATAACAAAAAAAAAAGTTACACTAATCTCTCAAGTTACAAAAATATATCAGAAGTTACATAATAAATGCATTGTCATCTCGCCCTAATCGAAACCGGCTTAAGCAATGAGCTTGGTACTAAATATTTAACACACATGAAGAACAAGTAAACACAATTATAAATTAATATATAGATAGATACACACTAAGCAAAGAGAAACCCCTTTAATGTTTCTCATGCTTCTGCTGTTATACCCTAATTAAATGAGATCAATCATGTACTAGGGTAAAGAAAGAAAAATGTTCTTTACTGTGCTTTCCGCAGGTGTTCCAGCAATGACGTAGCCTTTCGTTTGGCCCTCTCTGTCCCACTCTTGGAAAGTTCTGTTAGAGGTATAAGTGCACCGAGCCTATTAAGTGATGAAAGATTATCTGCATCTCTCTTGCACAGGGAGAGCAAAATAGCAGCTGCGTTTTCTTTGTTACGGGGAAGACCAGCCCTCAAGAGATCAATCAACACAGGGATAGTGTTAGCTTTTGTTATAGCAGACTTAGCATCTTGATGGCTAGCAAGAACCGAAAGAATGGTTAGCGCTTCGTCAACCATGCCACAGCTAGGGTCAGTCAGCATTTTCAACAAAGCCGGAATGATCCCTGACCGAATTGCCCGACCTTTATTTCCTTGATAAATGCACAGATTGAACAGAGCGGTTGCGGCATCTTTCTTCCCTCGGGTGGTCCCGCTTTGGAGGAGCTCCACAAGTGCCGGAATTGCTCCTGATGCACCGATTATGATTTTATTCTCATCCCCAAGAGACAAACTAAAGATGGTGGCTGCCGCGTTCTCTCTTGCCTCCATGGTTCCTGCTCTGAGAACTTGAACAATGGAAGGAACAGCGCCAGCCAGCATAATTAGGGACTTGTTGTTCTCATATATGGAGAGGTTAAGAATGGAGGTCACTGCATTTTCTTGAATATCTCCATCTTCGGAGGTCAACAGATTCACCAAGACCGGGATAGCTCCGGCTTCAGCAATCAAGATCCGGTTGTCTGTGCTTCGTTTGGACAGTGACCGGATCTCAGACACTGCTGACCTCCGTTCTTCAAGCGACCTACTTGACAGCTTCCGGGCAAGTGCTTCAATGGCAGAAACGTTTCCGTTGGCTTCGCAGATTGATCCATCACCCTTCTTTTCCCCTCGATTGTTTAGCATTGTTGGCTGCTGGATGTTGTGTTTCACACACCATTGACTTATGAGGCTTCGTAAGACGTAATTCGGAGTGAGGGTAAGATGGTCGAGTTTTTGTCGGGTTTTAGGGCAGGTTGTGTTGCCACAGTCTATCCATTTCTGTATGTATGCTCTCTCATAAGTCTGCAGGATCAAGGGGAAATGCTAGACCATTTTAATAACATATCTTTGTTTCCTGGTTAGAATAAAGAACTTACCATTAAATTTGAATGTGTGAAAATAAATTGAAAGTCACATGTTAAGACACAAATTGTTTGACATTATGCACCATCTATTCTTCTCTTTCCTTTTTTGTCCATCCCACTAAATTTGTCCCATATTATATTAGGTAATATTTATGCGGTCTAATTCATTTTCTACTTTATTCATACTTTATCCATTCAATACCAACCACATAACGCCACCTCTCTTAATAACCACACCACCTCCTCATGTTCCAGCCGGTCATTTAAATGCTAAAATTTACAGCCCATTTGGAAAGGTAAATTTGGCTTAAATGGTCAAAATAACTGAACTTGTTGAAATTACAGCTGATACATCTCAAAATGCATTTGAAAAATGATTTCATAAGAAATTAAAGAAAGCAATATCTCAACAGGTGAAGAAGTGACACCTCAATTCCTCTATCTTTTAGCAATTGATTCATAAAACATAGTTAAATAAAATTAGTATTTGGTACAAAACTTGATTGATGAGGCTGAAAAGGAGAAAAGTTGTATTCCCAAACAGGCACTTTGTCCACCACATGTTATAATTGAGACAATGTTTTACTCCCTTCTGTTAATACCACGTCTAATATCAAGGTTAATGGGTTATTCTTGGCATATTGAATGCTGAGATTATCCCCCATATTTCCTAAATATTTAACAAATCGCAAACAATGACTTTGAGATGAAGTATGAATTGTTCCTAAAACCTAAATTATAGAAATTTGGAGACAAAATTCACAAAAAATGAAAGGAAGGTCCTTAGATTACACAATGTCAAACAGTTAGGGGGCTAAAAGTCTAATTTTCCTGAGAAAAAGTTAGAAGAATACGATCAATTTTGAAAGCATGCATAATTATATGTAGCCATGTAGGTGATAGACTAACCTGCCCGGTTGCCACAATAACAGGATCCCTCATAAGCTCCAGGGAAATGGGGCAAAGAAAATCATTGGGAATCATCGGACATTTTGCTGTCTTCTTGCTGCTCTCTTCCACGTTACTTTCATCACTGAAATCCTCATCTTTGTCTTCCCCGACACAGCCAGAAAGAACAGGTACACAATCCTTAGGCCCCACAGATGAACTAGTCGCGCTTTCTAATCCCTTACTCTTCCCACTAGATCCACATCCATTAGCTATGGGGACTGGTCCTTCAAACTTTGACCTCACTTCATGATCAATATTTCCAATATCTTTTATGTGCAAACTCCCAATTGTTCTGTTGTTTGTCTGGAGAGGATCTAGTTCGTTGTCCACAGGCTCAGATAGTGTACGGGCTAATAAATTTGAATTCATGGACACGCCGTATCTTTCCGTGGCTCTTCTGAGTTGTGATCTGAGCAAGTGAACCTGTGAGAAAAATTGAAATATTTTGCTCATAGATGGTATAACCTGGTACATGTATGTTTGCCCATCTAGATCTAATTACTCAGTGCCAGATCAATTTCACCAATGACAAATCTTTAGACCTTTAGAGTGACTTAGGTCAAGTTTATTACCGTATCCAATGATGAAGTATAAGTTATATAACCATATCCAAATGCTCCTTAAAGCTATAACCAACCTGTTCGGTTAATTCCTCGGATATCTCCAAATGATCATACGGTAAGTTTGCAAGGGACTTCTCCAATTTCCATGTCACACATTGGAATTGAAAGTGGATTTTCTTCATCACCCCATCCTTAGTCAAGATACAGCACACACTGATGAGAAAGATCAGATATAATTGCTAAAAGAATTATCACACACTGGAAAATAAATTATACTCTAAACAAGTCAACTAGTCACAAGATTGATGCTATAAATGCTTTATCACAAGCACAATTGAATGTCATCTCAAACCAATTGAAGTTAAAGATGTCCAAGAAAATACTCTGCATTAATTAATTTGAAAAAGCCTCCAAAGTGTTCTTGGATTTACTCAGGAAATATTCGCATGTCAATTTATAGACTATAGTACTGAAACTCATGCTTTCCTAATTTCAAATTATAAACCATGGCTCCTAATTTAGATCAGATTCTTGTTGTCCTTTCAAAATTCAGATCAGTGTTGCAGAAGAAGGGTTTTATAAAGTTGAAGAAGACCAAAATAGATAAACTCAATTAGAGAAATTAAGGAAAGAGCGGGACCTAAATTCACCAGAAGAAGAAGAAGAGAAACACAAAGCTTTATGTTCATCAAATGTAGATGCAAATTCACAATTACACTGGAAACTTCAGTCAAAACCAATGGAAATCACACATTTTCTCTTGCAATTATATGCTTACAGAAGAGATCTTGGCATCAATGTTGTTGGCTGAAAGAAGAACTCTTTTAGCAGCTTGCAGAGCTATGATGAGATCAGACAAGCAAGAACTGGAAGAGGAAGAAGACGACGAGTTCGTAAGTAAATGGGTCTTAAAATCTCTGATCTCTTCAAGCAAATGGGCAAGGAGTGAGACTCTGCGAACTAAGTCGGTGCAGTCTTTCTTGAAGGCGCCGGAGAAGCCAGAGGCCGAGATCTGCACTACATCGTGAAGTGACTGGAGAGCGGTCTCGACGGATTCGCCGTTCTCGGCAGTGGCGGTGGTGTCTCCGCCGGACATTCTCGGCCGCGGTAGGTAGTGGCTGAGAACTTGGGATCCGTATTTACAACCACAACAACAATGTCCTGACTCAGGACATGGCCAGCTTATGGGGGCTGGATTATAGAGCTGGTTCCCAAATTTTCTGTTTAATTAATTAATTATTTTAAAAATAATACAACCTGTAAAAGTGTACAACTACCCAATATGAAGAATATATAATTTTTACAAACTTAAAAAGAACGTTGTATATAATCATTATATATTGACTACAACAACATGTTCAGGATGTTTAACTTTCTAAATCGTTTTGCAAACGCATGAATTATTTGATTTTAATAATAATAATAACAAAAATAGTTTATCTACACATGGTATATGGTCGACTTTCTGAATCTTTTTGTAAATTATACTAGTTTTTACACGCGCGTTGCGCGATGTGACAAATGCCCAGTATAATATTTGGAATGTGCCTTTACATGCCTGACTTTGTAATTTAATATATGAAAAAATTAATGTAAAATTAGTGACAAAAAGGCGTAAACCTGCACAAAGTTACCTGCATCATGAGATTGTTTTCAACTGAGTTAGGTTTTTAACTTTGGATTTTGGAATGTGCCTTTACATGCCTGACTTTGTAATTTATTATACTCTTTGGCGGGCTATGAGCGCTAAAGTGCTCAAATTTGATCTATCAAGTATACATACTCCATGAAATATTGTTAATCCCATAGCAACGGTGTATTCATCGTTGAGTATGTATTTATTTGATTTAACTTTAAAAACCATATTAACAACTAACAGTCAAGATCCGTACATTCAATATTGCTACAATCCACTATACACCTAGACCATAACTTTTTTACTTTTTTAAATCAACAGGTGGTATGCAATAGTGATTCATTTTTATCTAATTACATTTTGGCTTATTGTTTCCCTCTTTAGGTATTCTAACCTTAAAGTTATCAAAGCAGACAAATCTCATCTAAAATAAAGCAACCAGCATACAACACACACATAACAAAGACCTTGCATTACGAAATGAGAGGCATTGAGATCAACATCAGTACACAAAATTGATAGTAAAAACATTAAGCAAGTAGTTCTATACATAGTACTGCCGTTCTGACCACCTTAGCTTGAAATTATTACTTCTTTCCAAGCAAAAGCAAATATCCTAACTGCAATGTTTGACATAGATAGATTTTTTTAGGCATGCAAGCAGAAATTTTAATAATGAAAGAAAATATACCTTTTCATTTTTCAAAGGAAAAGAAAAAAGTCAAAATACAAAAATATAGCAAATCGGACTGGGGGCCTACAAATATGAACACAAATGATTTGGCATCATCAACTAAAAAAAGGCAACAAACTCATTAGTTGATGGCGATATGGCCACAAGAAAACATTCACCCAAATCATAGATTTTCTACACCAAAATGTATTATGAAGGTATTTGTTAAAGTAATTAAACCGGCCTGACCCAAACAAAAAAGAGGGACCTACTACAAAATATTATGCACATCCATGCTAAACAAGCGTATTTGACGCATGAACAAGGGCACCACACTCTAAATAAGGGGAGGTATCTCCAACTTTCATTACTATGATATTATATTTTCTCAGCATGAAATTAAAGAGCTTCCTTATTAGCTGCTTTACCTTTGGAGAAAACACGCTGGTTGAGATAATTGACTAATGGTGAGTAATTTGTGTGTGTATCTCGTTTCTTGCAAGAAACTTGCAACCATAACGCACCTGTTAGAAGAAAATCTATTGCATTAGAATGTGAAAATCATGTTCAATTGATATACTGCATTCATATTTTCTAATTAGCCACAAGTTGAAAACAATCAGACAAACTGTATTTTTTAACTGATCGGGGACAGTTCAAAGATCAATATTTATACTTTCATGCATTTTAATAGGACATCACTTGTTATACTAATTAATATGGCAGTTTTTATAAGTGAGTGGAAAATCAAATACGGAGTATAATGATAATATATCATAGAGAAATGGAAGCCGAGAAAGCAGAGAAGATTTAAGTTTAAGTTCATCTCATTGCTCTAAACTACAAATTCATCATACATGAGTCTAGTTACTTAAACAATCTGGTATACATTTAATATGATAATTCAAATAAAATGGAGATATCTGCTTTTGTGGCATTAAATAGAAAAAGAAGACTAAAATCTTTCCAACTTAACTGGTCAGATGCCGATAGATAGACACACTTACCCACAAATCCATAATGGTGTGTTAAATAAACAGGGAATGAATAGAATAAAACATTGAAAGCTGGAACATGCATATATCACACTTATAAACTATTCTAAACGAAAAGATTTGTAACCACAAGACATTACCAGTTTACCACATATTTGTGCTATCAAATTAAACCATACTAAACTAAGAAAGTGGTTATGCTTTTCTACATATTAAGTAATTTTATTTATATAAAAAAAAGATGCTATCGTTGGTTTTGATCAATAATACACACTTGTATGAGATCTTGTATATTTAAGACTTGATGACCTATACGCTGTATTAATTAAAGAAACACATTAAATTTCTACAAGAGTACAAATGTGCGATCATTGATTCTACATACGAATGCCGTTCAGCCTAAAAGTGAACATATAACAAAAAGCATTAGTCACAAAAACTAATGAATCATTGTTGACACTACAGAAATTGAGAAATTCTATTATCATTGCTCCCTTTTCTCCAATTTGCCAATTCTTTGAATTCAAGAACTTTCTTCCGATGAATCTGGTGGTTTTAAATCGCAGGACGGCCTATGATTTAAGCACCTACCTTTCAGAACTCTCATATTTTCATAAAATAATTAGTCAATTAGAAGCATTTATTGTTCAGTCTGACTGATCCTTGGCAAAAGGTGAGTCCAAGGGTCAGTCTAAGGGTGACAGGAATCTTTTCTGATTAATATGAAAATATTCAAAATTTTCTAAACAATAGTATCAAATAAATATGTGCTCTAAGGATGGAAACAACACAAAAAACTTGATCCTGTCACAATTGTAAAATATGCAATGTATAATCTATATGAGTCAAACCTCTTATCTACCCTATTACATTGGCCCTTCATGCAGCTTTGTAAGGGGGCTGAATGAGAAAAATCAGCTAGTGTAATGGAGATTAACTGGTCATACTAATTAATATGCTAGTTCATGTAAAGTGAAATAAGATAACAGAAGCGATGAGGATTTCCAGACATGTGGCTAAAGATGCATAGAAACAAGAACAAGTAACTTGTTCTTGGGGACCATATTGTTATTGTTATCATCATTGTTTTCTTTTAGTTTTTTCTAGTGTGACTATGCATGATGAGGGTAAGGAAATAATACTATGTCTATAGTGTTTTCATACCCAATAGAGACAAACCTTTACTGGATTGGGGACCAGGCCCTTGTATATTGCTCTGACGCATGATGAACAGTTTTACTAAATGCATCAATCATGCCAATATACTCGACCGAAGCCCTTCCCTTCCCTCCTTCACCAATTACAACAGATGCAACATCTTTCCAAGCCACCATCTGCATTCTGCGGCGAACAACATCAAGTGGGTAAGCAACTGTTTGGCCAATTGCCCCTGCAGCAGCCCCACACGCAAGCCTAGTACCAACACCAAGCTCAGTATCTTCAACCAGTCCCAGAGGTTTAGATTTGATCAGAAAATCTTTCAAAGATTTATGAACAACAAAATTAAGACCAACATCAGGAATCTGGGGACACGAAATCAAACTTTTAGTTAGCATTTGAACATATGAAAGTACACAATATAGAATTGTCAAAAGAAAATGTGGCATTTGAAGAAATGCAATAAACGGACTTACAACTCCTATGACAGATGGAAGCCAGCCTTTGTATAAAGCCCATGGACCTTCTTAACGGAGAACGGTTGACAAAGCGTGAACCATTCCCCTGTACTTGTAAGGAGATTTATCGATCTGCGAGCCAGGAGAAATAACTTTAGTCACGCAAGATATAAAAGCATTGCAATGAAATACCCCAAGACTAAAATGCAGATTTTATGTATTCTATTTCCAGGATAATAGAGAATATTGCTTTACTTGAACAGTTAGCTAGCCTGCCTCGGACCATGTCCATTGGGTATGTTGCAGACATGGCAATTATTTCGGCACAAGATCCGACTCCAAGACACAATACATGAGTGAGTTGAGCATCATCTGCAAATGAACAAGATTAAAGCTCAAACATTGCCGGAATTTCACAAGTCTTTTAATATATTTCATGTTTTTCAAAAGAAAGAGCTCGTTCCAGTCTCACAGGTAAATGGAATATTACAGTGATAGAAAAACAATAGCTAAATGCACACAGGGAACTCAATGGAAATCTCCTTAATAAGGTTTATGTATTTTAGTAGCATATAGAGAACACTGAATACTTAGTACATAACAAATACATTTCAAAAGCCAACAAAATAAGTTCACATAATGTCAATGGAGGAAAAGAATATATTGTTGGAAATATGCCCTAGGACAATCATAGTTTATGATTTATCAATAAATATTTGATGCTCATTAATTAATAAAGTTGCAAACTCATTTTATGTTAATTATTATTGTGAGTTTTCTTTATTAATATTTAGTCCCTGAATATTCTGTTTAGTAGCTAATTAAGTATGTGACTTAATTGTGGAATGCTACACTTTAAAATAAACATAATATTCTAATTTTCCCTGGTCTAATATTATTAATTTGGGACATTAATAATTAATAGACCAGTATGTGGATTAACTGATGGCTATATTCCACTAGTCATGGGTATAGAGATATCAAGTTAATAACATAGATGCTTGTTAGGGAACAAGTTCATTGGACAGACCCAACTTGAGGACACTGCTAGGTTATATGTCATCAGTGTTGTCCTCAATAATGATGAGGTGTTATATTCTTATACTTGAGATAATCATGGTTACTAGCATGAGAATTAATATGTATTAACACCATCAAATGTTATCTTTAACTGGGTAATTATAAAGGTGGTGATTGTACATATTATGAACCATGTAGTAGTATGTGAATTATCAAGATAGTTTTTGTCACTCTTGTACATCGAGAGAAAGATATCTATTGGGCCCCTTGACAAGTAAGATTAATTAGCATGGCCATGCTCAAATGAGGTG